TGGTTCTATGTTGCACCAAAAGCATTCTTCTATTGTTATGTTGTCAACCCTTTTTAGGTGCTATATAGATCCACATACAACACCTTCTCTATCAATCTGAAGAACGATTGCACCATGCGAAGAAGCATTTAAGCATGCAAATGGTTCTTTGAGTGTTCCTGGTTCTATATAGAACCACTGTCTTTACTAACCTTTGAAGCAGCTTTTTTAAGAGTGTACTCGAAGCAGTATTTAATCTGAATGATTTGATTGAACAGCTATTGTGACATTTCCATAATCAGTGGCAGAAGTAAACATTGAGCAGTGCATGAGAAACTATTGTAATTAAATGATTGTGCTGGAAAGCTATTAGATAAAAATGATTAATCAAATAGCTCATATTTATTAATCAGAGATTGCTGTGATAGCAAGCAGGTGTAGTGATCCAACACACACTTTAACACAATGATGTTTATGTGGAGAAAAAGTTTCTTTCTAAAGGCTTTGTAGTTAAAGGGAACTTAAAGAAGAATGTCTGCATCATTAAATGGTTAACATGTCAGCACATCATTCAGAGTGGTTCGGTCTAAAATGCATCAATCTGGAGAAACTTACCAAGACACAACTGTTAACCATGGTGGTGATAGGAACCAGACGTCCTCCTCTAAAAGCTCCCTCACAGAAAGTTACTACACGGAATGGTTATGAATTCACTGCCTGATGACTGAGATTTTTTATTATTTATTTTAACTATACACTCTTAAAGGTCGGGGTTGCTGCGCCCCCAGCTGTATTCGGTGGGGGTGGAGAAACTCTGACTTCAAACGAGGATATTGTCGGTCGGTGGGAAGAGCACTTTGAGGAACTCCTTAATCCGGGAGACATGCCTCCCTCACGGGAGTCAGGGCCTCTGGCGTGTTAAGCTCCATTTCCCTGGTGGAGGTCACCGAGGTAGTTGGCAAGCTCTTCAGTGGCACCGGGGGTGGATGAGATTCGTCCGGAGATGCTTAAGGCTCTGGATATTGTGGGGCTGTCGTGGCTGACACGCCTCTGAAGTATTGCATGGACCTCGGGAACAGTACCCTCGGACTGGCAGACCGGGGTGGTTGTCCTTAATTTTAAGAAAGGGGACCGGAGGGTGTGTGCCAACTATCAGGGTATCACACTGCTCAGCATCCCTGGGAAGTCTATGCCAAGCTGGAGAGGAGACTTCGACCGATAGTTGAACCTCGGATTGAGGAGGAACAATGCGGATTCCGTCCCGGCCGTGGAACATTGGACCAGCTTTTCACCCTCTCACGGATTGTTGAGGGGGCATGGGAGTTTGCCAACCCAGTCTACATGTGTTTTGTGGATTTGGAGAAGGCTTACGACCGTGTTCCCCGAGATCTGTGTATCTTTCTTTACAGGAATCTCAGGGCAAAAGGCAACATTTTCTCTTAATCATGTTCCTGAAAAAAGCTTGAGATTTAAAACATTTAAGGCAAACATAAGATGTGCCAGCACCTGGTGGAGTTAATCACTACACATTCTAAAACAGTAATAAAAAAATGGATCCATTTTTTATTTAAATATTCATGTACTGAAACATGTAGTGCTAACATATAGTACTGTAAAAAAGTCAGAGTGGAGCTTTTCATTTATGAAGTATTAGAACAAGTTATTAAATACAACTTATTAATTTTTAGTGTCCGGAAAAAGGCAAAAAAATTACACAGAATCCTCAACAACTACTATAACATCAGTTTTCTCAGTACTTAGTGTGTGTATCTTTGCCTTTATTACAGCTTTCATTGTATTCAGTTTCTTGATTTTAGTTTTAGTAGAAATCTGCAGGGATATCTCTCCACGTCTCTTGTAAACACCTCCAGAGTTCAAACGTCTTTTGCTTCTTATAATCCAAGTAATCCTAACCACAAACTCAGACTCATCAGCCCATCAAACCTCTCAGATTTCCCTGTCCGAGTGTTCTAGAGCAAATGCTCTTCTTTTCTTTTCTCAGTGAGGTTCTTCTTCACAGCTACACATCCTTTCAGACCCACAGCGCTGAGTCGTCTTCTCACAGTGGAAGGATGGACAGAAACACCTGTGGATGTTTTCAGATCTGAAGCAGCCTGATTTTCTCCTCTCTCTCAGAGATGAAAGCTTTAAGTGCTGTTTATCTGATGGGGGCAGTTTTGGGGTCGACCAGCTCTTCCAGGTGGTTGTTAGGAGCCACATGTTCTCTGGAAACTCCATTTTTTTCCCCACTTATTTTCTTTTGACTTTCCTCTTTCTGGCTAATCTCCTCAGAAATATCAGAAATTTAACCTTTTTAACTCCACAGAAGTGTGTGAACCAGCTGAGGTGAGTTTGGGTTGTTTGTGTGAATGTTAGTGTCTCTTTGAAGGGGAACATAAAGTCAGTGAGGTCTTTGGAAGCAGCTGGAACTGGTTGGTCTAAAGGAACTATAAGGTGCATAAGAGTAAAGCGTGGACAAATTACACACTGATAGATTTAATATTAATATTAAGATTAATATTGCTTAGTGTTGGAGCATTTTATGGAATTTTCTATTGAATTTGTGTTTTCTACTTTTTTTCTGGCAATGAAAAACGAATAACTTGTACTTCTTTTCACTAAATATATGAAAGAGTGGTCTCTGATTTTTGCACAGCACTGTAATTACATGCTTATTACTAACCAAAGCTAAAACTTGAGAAGTTCTCACTATGCACATTTACTCTGCAGTCATTTAAGTGTTCATAGATCATCATAGATTAGTTTTACCTTTATTTCCTCTTGTTTTCATTTTAATTCTGTTAGATATTTTACACTCTTTACAGAAAATAAAAAGTATAATCTTTATCGAGCATCTGCTGGCGCATTGGTCTTAGTCATTTTAGATACTCATGAGTTGTTATGAAGGACGAAAATAAGCATCAGACAATAAATTGTAACACTTTACATTAAAGAATGCAAATTAATTGATAATTACATGCTAACAAGTAACTAAATACTCATTATTCATATATTAATTTCTTGTTCAGCATTATTTTACTAAATTACAAAGTAAGTACTTGGTAATTAGTATTCGAGTACACTATTAACTGATAGTTTGTCATTAGTTCACAGCTTATTCATTCGTCAACTGTGTATGAACTGCTGCTTATTACAGTGCTAACAAACGTATAGGTGTGTTTACTCATATAAATAACATGAAATCTAACAAGCACATGTGTTAATCCCATTAGTTATCTGTTAATTAATCTTCTGTTACAGTTTCCATTGTGCAGTGTTGTTCTTTCATCTTTCCTGGATATTTTCCTTCACCTGCATGTATTTATTTCACCATAAATTACTTCTTACTTAACCATTAACGACTGCTTTATGTGTCCCTCCAAGTAAAGCGATGACCTTCAGTAATAACATCCTAATTATATTACAAACTCATGATTAGGAGGAGCTTTTATTCACTGTGAATCACAGCAGAAACGTAAGTGGACATACAGGTTAGGCCTGAAACACAGGCTGCTTATTTAAAGACTTATAAAGAGAGATGCCCTTATAAGCAACAGAATGAACAGCATCTGTCACACTATTATCTTATTATCTTAAATTGTAAGGGGTTCTTCTTGGAGTGGTGCTATGGAAACCCAGTCTTGCACCCCTAAACAAACTGTCATTGGATGAGATGTACAAAAATCTGAAGGACAAGCTGTGAGATAATAAGATCAGTAACTAATCAGGTCTTAATCCTGAGTTTGTAATATAATTAGTAGCAAGATTAATCCCTTTATTGAGGGGACACGAAGTGGTAATTGGCAATCACTAGATTAAATAACAGATACTTAATATGATTAACACAAGTACTTGTTTTTTTCCATATTATCTGTATGAGTGAACACACTCATGAGTTTGTTAGCACTGTAATAAACAGAGGTTAGTACACAATTAATGAGTAAATAGGTTGTGAATTAATGACAAAATAACTCAGTGTTAAATCAGTTAACAGTGTGCTTAATTACTAAGTAATTACACTACAATAAATGGTGTCTTGCCAAGTGAAATGTTACGACCCTAGGGATCGTGATGTGTTCTTTGCAGTTTTCTTTGTTTTGTTATGTATTGCAGTGTCATGACGATTCCACTCCAGCAGGTGACTCAACCTATAGAGGCTGGATTGCAGCCAGGTGGAAGTGTGAGGCAAGAGAGCTACACGCTGTTGCTTCCCGGTTCCCTGACCACCAACTTGAGAAATGCTTGTGCTTCATTAGAGTAACTAGTAGTTTACAAGGTGTTAAGGTTTTCAGTGTGGTGTGTAAAACCTATGTTTCAAATAGTGTTGAAACTTTAATATGTGCTCCAGCTCATACGGTGTGAATGTTGCCTTGTGAAGTTGTATATTCTCCATCAAAGTCTGTGAGGCCTGGACACTGCAGGATTTTCCTCAGTTTAGGGAGGGAGGACGTTTTTGTTTCTCTGTTTCCTCCTGGTTGTGGCTTTAGTTAGGGAGTTGGGTTAAATTTGATGGATTTCTTTTCTTTGTGTTGGTTAGGTTTAGTTAGTTGTTAAAACTTAGTTTGCTTTGTTCTGTTTGTTATTTTCCCCTACCCTCCTTTGGTTCAGTTTTCTCACCTATGTTTCAACTTCAATAACTCTTGATCAATGCGAAGCTGGATGTTGTATGCGTGGTCGAGGGAATCAGAAGGGCACGTGTGACTCTCTCTCTCTTTCCTTTTATGTTATGGCCTAAGCCTAGACTGGGTCATAACAGAAATGATCTTAAATCTAGTCGATAAATCTAATATTTCCCGTTTTGAGATGGTTGTGCTCTTATTATAAGATTATCTAGCTTATTTCTAGACATTTATTACTTGTTTTATGTAATTTTTTTAAGCATTAAGCAAAATTACCTGCCAATATAGTGAGATAATTTTCCTTAATAAAATTACTTAAAATAAGTGAAAAATGTATAATTATAAGGAAAATAATCTTAAATTAATCTTACAACAATCTCAACAGGAGAAATATTAGATTTTTTGACTATTTTTAAGATAATTTTACTCGACACTATTTTTTGCAGTGTAATCAGTAATTAATGCTTAATGAGAAGTTAATGTAAAGAATGTGTTTTATTGCTGATTAACATATAATTACCAATTAACTTGTGACACTTTATGTATAGAGTACCTGATGATTATATAGCACGATCACTTAAAAACAATCCAACGTTGTGTTATATGAGAGCATTACCACTCATTTGTATTTGATATTTGAGACCAGGTGTGCAGACGTTACATAGGGAAGAGCAGGTGACCGCTGAAGGTGGTGAGGCGATAACTATCGCCGTATATATTTCTCTGAGCTGGAAGACTCAGGGTGATTATGTCTCCCACCTCCAACAACAGTGAGACTCCATTCGAGGTGCTAACGCGATACTCAGGCTGATGACCAAAGGCAAGAACAATGAACCTGCCGTTCTTGAGCATCTCCACTGCTGTTGACATTGAAGAACTTCCTTTTCCTTGGATGTGAAGATCGAACTGGTAGACGCCTCTAACAGGTGCAGTAAAAGCTCCTGTAAAAGTTTGCTGATGTGAGAAAAGGAGGTCTTTTCTGTCTGTTTACAATTACTATGTAGTTTAATACTTCAATTTTGATTAATACCTGTTATTGAGTTATAAGCATTGCCGATGTTTGTGATGATGTTGTCAAACACCAGCTTGGTGTTACTGTTAAAAGGCCCAACACTGGCACCAAGAGGTCTGTGAAGATAAGCTGAAAATGCCACTTTCTCATCTGAAAAAGATTCAGTAAAGACAGTTTAGCAATTAAAAAACATAATTAGCCAAACGGAGCATTTTCTCCTGCTGAATTATACTATAAATATATTTTTGTCTACTTAAAATTTCATTTCATTTAGCAGTAGAAATACTGCACTCTTAAAAAAGATGGTTTTTCAAGGGTTCTTTAGTAAAGAAAATGGTTCTATATAGAACCATGAACACTCAAAGAACCCTTTTGCATGATCAAAGGGTTCTTTGCATGGTGAAATGGTTCTTTAGACTGATGGAGAATGTCTTGTGTATGGATCTATATAACTTACCGAGTCAGACTTGTTCACATTGGTGGTGATGGGAACCAGACGTCCACCTCTAAAAGCTCCCTCACAGACAGTTCTGAATTCACTGCCTGATGACTGAGATTTTTCATTATTTATTTGAATCAGTTTGTGGTGGAGGGATATAAGAGTGTTCCAAGACAAAATAGTCCCCAGAGAAAACTTATTTTTTCAAATTTTACACTATTTTACAATTATCAACATTCCATATAAACACCCAAACAACTCTGAACAGCTCGGTTTACATCTCAATCACTGAATTATGCAGAAATTTTGAAAAATTGGCGGAATTCCCCTTTAACTAACATAATCGATAATGACAGCCCCTAATCAGAGCAACACAGTAGAAGTATGAATGGTTCTTATGTGTGTACAAGCTTGACACCGTAACCATAGTAGAACCTATTTCGGTGCTGTATAGAACCATTTTCAAAAAGGTTCTACATAGAACCATCTACAGCACATTCTCTATCAATCTGAAGAACCATTTCACAATGCAAAGAACCATTTAATCACACAAAGGGTTCTTTGAATGTTCATGGCTCTATATAGAACCATTTTGTTTACTGAAGAACCCTTGAAGAACCATCTTTTTTAAGTGTGTAGCCACTTTGTTGCAGTCACAAACACTAAAACCTCGTATCTCCAAAATGGTAACTTTAGTTTACTTTTAATGTAAGTCAATGGAACCAGAATTTTTTCCAAGTCATTTTGGGTTGTTTCTTTTGGTCCAATGTAAAGAACAACAGGCAAATAATGTATATATATATATATATATATATATATATATATATATATATATATATATATATAGATATATATATATCAGGATAGATAGATAGATGAGTTACTAACATTTTACTAAAAATGATGCATTAATGAATTTACTATATCCATAAGAGAATCTGTACATAACCTCCCCCTGAATAAAACATTACATGAACACAGTTATTGCCCAAAATAAATAAAACATAAAAGTAAAATTTTTGAAAGAAAAAAAAAAGTAAAAGTAATATATATAAGTTGTGTGTTGAATCAAATAAATTCAGCACAGCACCTTCAGGCTGCATGAGCATTTGATGAGAAGAAAGCCACACAGACAGCAAAGTGTAAGATAAAGCTATTAATGCTATGAACAAATATTTGGCTAACCTGCTGTCAGTGTTGGGCAAAATACGTTGAAAAAGTTGCAACTGATTTATACTTAACACACCATCCTAAATGCATTCAGTAACGTCGGAATCGAAATAGCCGCTACTTCCTCATGCAAAATGAACACGATTAGCTTAAGGTCACGGCCGCTGTCTCACCTGTTTACTCAGCATATTAGTTCACCTTTGGCCTCGCCCTGAATGCTTCATATGACTATTTCAAATACAGTAAATCAGATACTTACTCTCATTTGTGGTCATCAGTTGCTCCACTTGGGTCAGAAGTCTGGTCTCTGTGCTGCTCCAGTTCATGGCTTGACCTAAAGAGCGTTCACGAGTTTTGAATAAATCATCAGCAAAGATGACATTTTTACCTTAAACTTCACATTTATGTCGTGTAATATACGGTTGGTCTTACCTTTACTGAGCCGGCTCTGCTCCTCAAGCTTTCTCCTCAGCTCCTCCACTTGACTCTCACTAACACTCAGTCTGGTTTCCATGCTTTTCATTTCAGTCTTTGTGTTTCTCAGCTCATCTTTCAGCTCTGCCAGCGCACTAAGAACAGACTGGAGGTCTTGCTGGTCGTCTTGTTGGGTGAGGATTGTGGCAGTTTGCCCATTGGACCAATAACAGCACAGCAACAGCAGCACCAAAGCCAAGCTCTTCATTGTTGAACTGGTAATACTCTCTGCTTGTGTTTCAGAAATGAGCTTTGTCTATACATTTAGTAGGTTCTTCGTTAATCATTAATAGATCGAACCTGATAAGGTTGTTTCAGCACTTGAAGGACAGGAAAACGAAACAAAAGAGTGGAAAAGATTCTCCGGAATCCTTCATGGCAAAATGTAACCCAAAAAGGTATCCCACTGTTTATAGTTAACTTTGGTTAGTTCATCTAAGCTATTGAAGCTCTATTAGATCATTTTAAGGTAATAAGAACAATAAAAAGAGAATCATGTGATGAACCTGCCTGCCAACGTATACATGTGTATTTGGTCCCAAGTGTGTAAACATAACAGACCTTCTGATAAGAACATCCTTCAAGCAGGACTCACAGAAAGCATCCCTGACCACGGTGTCAATGGCAATGGCCATCTCAGTCCTCAAACAGGACAGTAAAGCTGTGTGAAGAGCTGAAGGGGAGAGAGAGAGAAAGGGAGAGAGAAGGGTTCCCTGCTCTGACATGGTCACCATTACTCTTCTTGAGTGTAAAATTTAAAATGTTACTTACATTCCAGACTATCAAGATCGGGCGCTGCGGATAGGGCTGCCCACCGCTCTGGGCAAGTGTGCCCACCGCCCCCTAGTGTGTGTGTTCACTAGTGTGTATGTGGTGTTTTACTGGGTTAGATTGCAGAGGTGAAATTTGCTCTTTGTGGGACGAATAAGGGTCTCAAAGTGTTAACAGCAAACAGACTCTTTCATTTCTTTAATTTTCTTTCATTCCAGTGTTGCATCTTGATCTGAATGTTAAAATCAAAGCTTCAAATCAATGTAGCTGGTACAAAAATGGAGAAACAGAGTGGGACATGTTTTCAGACAGAGATTTACAGCCCACCTTAAACTCTAACTGTATTTCTCCTATCAAAACTGTGACACGATCATGACAGTCAATATGCTACAAACTAAGCTAGCTCAGTGAGTTAAGATCAGCATTTCTCACTGCTCGGATATGTCCTCATCCTCCCTGAGATCCTTTTTCCTTCATGCTGGTGCCAGCTTGGTTTTTGCAGTTCTTTCCACTGTTGTCCATTTTCACATGATTCACTCAGTAATGAGAAAACTCTGCCTGTTGTATCAGAATCACACAGTTATGCTGAATTAGTTATGCTAATCTCTCAAGGCTGAAGTTAGCTTCTTATTCAAACTTCCATTCCACCTTAAATAGTGCAGGAGATACACACTTGTTCAGATACAGCCTTCTGAATGTAACAGCTACATCAGTTAAGGTGGAACAGGAAATGAGAATAAGAAGCTAACATCAGCTTCATCTCAGGTCTGATTAGGAAACCACGGCTGCACCACTTGAGGTCGGGAGAATAGCTGGTGGGCCACTAGTTTAATTCCTAAGCCCACAGATTTACACATGGATGGAATTTTTCATTTTTGAGCTTGTAGTCACAAATTTTTAAATGTGCTTACAGTAAGTGGTCCAAAATGCTAATGGCCCACCAAGAATTCTCCAAACTCACTCCAGAGCTGGAGAAACAGCAGACCATGTTTCTAACTTGAAACATTTCAATGTGTAGGTAACGGTTTAGAGATTTAGGATAATTCATAGATCCTAAAATTGTGTAGTCCATCATTTCTATGGGGAAGCAGTTCATTGCAGCAAAGTCAGAACTGTGCATTCTCTGGAATTTTGTTGTTGTTGTTTTGTGGTTGTTTTCTTCAGAGGTTACTTCATTTACAGTTAAGAAGTAGTGAATATGCATGTAAACATATTTGGTGAAAGCATAGCTGCTTTGCTTAGCTGTTCATTGTGTCTAAAACACATGCTCTCTCACACCTACACACCCACACACAGCGCTCAGGAGCTGCTATTGAACCGGTCGTTCATTTTGGGAGAGTAAACTAGAGTTAATCAATGCCGGACTCAGCCCACTCTTTGTGTAGGCTAAGATTCATGACTTTGGGTCTTCCAAAACCTCAATATGGGCGATCAACCTGCCAAGCCTGCCTTCTCAATCAAACTCTAAATATTTGCACGGCCACAGTAGAGTGGGGTTCATTCAGACCGTCTGTCGGCTATTTCATTCACCAATTACACACTCTTTATCATTTCTTTGCATATTGGATGTCCAGAACATCGATACCAAGTATTTGAACATGAGAGCAGCATCTGTCTTCTTTTCCATCTAATAGCTTTGTCAGATCTCTCCATTAGAATTTATTCACCCTTTAAACGTGACCACAATCTTTGACTGTGCTATATTCGCTAAGTTATGCTTTAATTTGCATATAATGCTTCTGTTATGGACTCCAATTATTTCTGAAGCTTATGTTTGATCGAGAAAAGTTTCTTCATAACCAGCAACTTCTATTAAAAGGTGATTGTTATCATGAAGAAAGTCTGTGTTTTCAATTAATGAACTGCAGAAGCTCATTGAGAAACAAAAACAAGCCCTTCACACATCTCCATCTAGCATGACCAGTGCAGAGAAAGACATTTGTCCACAGAAATTTCCCAACTCCAACCGCAGGAATGGCACAAATAGGGCGACTAACCTCATAAAATACAATTAACACCATAAACATTTATTTTTCAATAACATTGATTTAACCCCTTAAATTCCCAGGCTTATTACATATAAGACCTATTATTCAGTAACCATATGGACTACAATGCAGGCTGGCTGAGCTATTCTTAGGTTATAAAAGTGTGTAGTAAAGCTTTGGACTCGCTGGTGGGTCCTGGTCATTATAATTAGATGAGATATTTTTTGAAAGATTTGCATGGACTGCAAAACATGATAAGTGAAATTGTCTCAAATGCAGTCTACACTGCAAGAAATGATGTCTTGTCAAGTAAAATTATCTTAAATATAGTCAATAAATCTAACATTTCTCCTGTTGAGGTTGTTGTAAACTGAATTTAAGATAATTCACTTTATTTCTTGTTTTAAGTCATTTCTTTAAGTTAATTTATCCTGCTATACTGGATGAGAAGTTTTAAGAAATGAGCTTGAAATAAGATATGATATAAAATTAAGACTAAAATAAGTAAATAATGTCTTGAAATAAGATAGATAATCTTATAATAAGTGCATAACCATATCAAAATGGGAAATATTAGATATATGGACTAAATTTAAGATCATTTCACTTGATAGGACACCATTTTTTGCAATGTACATATCTAATAGTTCTCATTGTGAGACGGTTGTAGGAATATTGTAAGATTATTCAACTTATTTCCAGATGATTTTTACTTTTTTAAAGTAATTTGATTAAATAAAATTGTCTATACTGGCAGATAAGCCAAATTATCTGCCAAAAGTGAGAACATTTTACTTCATAAAATTACTTAAAATAAGTAGAAATCATCTAGAAATAAGTTGAATAATCTGCACACTTAAAAAAGATGGTTCTTGAAGGGTTCTTTAGTAAAGGCAATGTTTCTATTTAGAACCATGAGTTCTATATAGAACCATTTCATGCTTTGCATGGCAAATGGGTTCCTCATATTTTTTGAAAATGGGTCTATAGCACCAAAAAGCGTTCTTCTATAGTTACAATGTGAAGTTTGTAACAGCAGAACCCTTTTTGGTGCTATATAGAACCACATACAACACATTTGCCATCAATCTGAAAAACAATTTCACCATGTAAAGAACAATTTAAGCATGAAATCGTTCTATAAAGAGCTATGATTCTAAATAGAACCATTCCCTTTACTAAGAACCATCTTTTTTTAAGAGTGTAGAAACAGTGAAGGTGACAGGAACCGAACACCCGCTTGCTGTGAACAGCATAGAGCAGTTATTGAATTCATGGATTCGTTCAGGACATTAAAAAATCTCTTATTATGATTATTCTTATCAATATTTATTAGAATAAAAATACCATAAAGCATTTGAGGCAGAAGCAGGACTACAGATGTGCAGCTTCCGAACAAAATGAAAAAAAAAGAAAAGTGTTTGCCCATGTTAGTTGAGTGTGTGTCACGGATTCTGTGATGGAGACTGTCCCGGTGTGTCATGCAGCACCCCCACTACACCCCTCCACCACCCCCCCCCATCCTCTCGGGCATGCCGCCTAATATCCTTAAGATGGTCAAGGGACCGATGAAGGAGGATATGCGTAGGAGGATGAGATGAAGAGTGAGAAAAGAGGCAAGGGGAAGAGTGCACGCGTGTAGGGAGGGGGTTGGGTGGGTGGGGGATGTCGGGGGGGGGGTGTGTGCACGACCATCCAGTGACACAGAAGAGCGCAGATAGGCCGCTATATAAACCGCATCTGCGTCTGCGTTTGCTGAGTGAACCGACGCAGACGGACCAAAGCGCGCTCCTCACTACAGCACCTGCTCCTCCAGAGCAAACTTCCACACACAGGTGGGTCGAAACCAACCTCTCTTTGTTTATTAGCCTACATCGCAAAAGAAATGGTACCTTTTCCAGGCAAATGATCTTAAATATAGTCGATGTGTCTAAAATTCCTCATTTTGATATTGTTGTTAGATTATTGAAATTATTTCTAGACATGTTTACTTGGTTTGCGTGATCGTCTCACTGTGGTGGGAGATAATTGTGCCTGAAGAAAACGTTTTACTCAAAAAAGAAACTTCACAGCAAAATCCCCAGAGCTGAATGAAGACCTGCAGCTCTGAATGAACAGAGTGCTTGATGAACGCTGACAAGGTTGATTGATCACCTCCAGTTTTTCTGAATCAACACCTACAAAGTTGAACTTACAGCTTTGCACTCAAACAAATACGACTTTCTAGAAAAGTGGTCACCAAACCTCCTCCTGGAGATCTGCTGTCCTGAAGAGTTCACTTTCAACCTGAGTCTAACATGCTGCTCCACCACCTTACCTAACGCTAGAGCAGCCGATCCAGCCAAACAAAGGCTTCTGAAGCAGCTCTTTATCCAGAGCAGGTGTGGTAGATTGTGTTTGGTACTAGACTCTGCAGGAAGGTAGATCTCCAGGACCAGGGTTGGTCACCACTGCTCTGGATGTTCATTCAGTCTTTCTTATCGTAAAGCATGTTGATGTATCTAATATTTCTAATAAGCTTACAAAAATCTCAAAATGTGTTTTACTTGATTTGAGTGATTTTAGTAAGTGATGTTTTCACTATACTGGGAGATAATTTGACTTGTTTCAAGTACATTTCTTACAACAAGCAACATTATCTGCCAATTTAATGAGATAATCTGATTTACTAAAATCACCTAAAACAAGCAGAAAATGTCTAGAAAAAAGTTCAATAACTTTGTAATAAGCTTGAAACAATCTCTGAATTGAAAATATTAGATATAGAGACTAGATTTAAGATGATTGCACTTGCCAAGATACCCTTTTTTGCAGTGTATGGCTTATTACTGCTGAGTAATAATGACAAATTAGAATAGAAAACTTTGCTGATTGAATGTTGTTAGCAATTTGTTGTAAATTTGAATCATTTCTATGCACCAATTGAATAATAATTTCCTCATACACATTAAAACATAACATTTTTGAAGATAAATTAAGACGTTTTAGTGAGAAAGTGGTTAGAGCAATCACCCCCACCCCCCCCATCTCTAGGACTAATAACCTTTCTAACCTCTAATATTTCTAATGCTGTTGTTTGGTGCTGCTCCTCTTCTGTTCTGCTCTAGACTGTTAAAAACGGCTCATCAGATCAGCCTAAAAAACTTACTGTGGTAACAAGTAAATTAACTAGTTTTATTCAAACTAAATAAATGCTTTGAATGAATGATTCTTTGAGTCAATGTAAGTTTTGGAGTTGAATAAAACTAGTTCAGTTGGTTGTTACTATATAAAGCAATGTTTTAGATTGATCTGATGAGCCATTTTTTTTCCAGTGTGGCTGGATTATCTGAGGTTTGCCTTTGAGAACGCTTGTATAAAAGTCCTCTTGTTAAAGGATATTTAGTTTAGTTAGCCACTTAACAGTTGCCACATCTACAATCCTTTTTATGCCACTTATTTTCTTATTACTTATATAGAAATATGTTTAAGCTTGGAATAAGCTCAAAGTAATCACTTTCTTGAAATTTAAGTTGAGACAATGAGTTGAACTTTTAAGAAAATAAATTGTTTCGAGAAAATGAGTAAAATGTTTGAGGAAATTAGTCATTATTCCAAGATATTAAGTCAACATTTTGATGTACTGTTGATATAAAAACATGAAAAAATGTACATTATATGATTGAATGGAATGCATGGTATAAAGGGTATTATGGTATTTGACATTCATACAAAGATTTGCATTTTCAAGAGAATGCAGAGGGTTGGGGATGTAAAAATAGAGAAACGTTCAGTGTAAATATGCAAAAAACAAAGTAAATGAAAGAAGAGTAAATGAAGAAAGAGTAACAAATACAATTAGAGCAGCACAGCAGCAGAACTCCATCACTTCACCTGCACTCTTTCTCACTCTCAGCCCTGAACCCACATGCGCCATGCTGCCTGAGACCCTCACATTCGCGCTGCCCTGCTCGCGCTCCCGGTGGGGCTCGGTGGTCGTCATGGTGCTGCTCATCCTGTCCGCCACCGCCACGTGCGCATGCTGCACCACCGTAGAGCACGACCTGCACATCGTCCACAATGTGGATAACAGAAGTAAGCTGCCCCCCGTCTCCTCTTTCTTTAAACAGATGAACCACAGCTAGAAATACTTCAGTAATTAACCATAGGCAGGTGAGGAATTATGGGATGCATTTAAGCAAAATTAAAAAAAATTAAGCAAAAGTATTTTTGGACTGAGAATTTGAAACTTAAAATAAGTAAACATTAAATACATTAAATGTCTTTAAGTACTCAATTCTAATGAAACTCAAATAAATTACACTGAAATATTCAAACATTGTTCCATCAACAAATGAAGTCCTTGTTTACTGACCCTGTTCTGTTTGATTGAATGGAAATGTGTGGGATATTTAAATTAAGTTCATCCAAGGATTTTTTTTTTGGGTGCAGATGAGACCAGAAAAAGTGTAAATTTCCTATGAAAAGTCAACAGTAAAGTTGCTAACAGAAAACTATGTAACGCATCCATAGCGAACCCAATAACGTCCATTTCTGAAATTTTTAATTTGGCCTATATCATCGCTGTCCAAAGAAAAACAAATATCTCCAAAATGATAACTTTACAGGAGAAGTCTAAAATGACTTTTACCTTCAATGTAAGTAAATGTAAAGAGATTTTATTCCAAGCAGTTTTAAAGCATTTCTATTGGTCCATTCATAGTAAAACTTCCACACAGTGTAAAGGGCAGCTGCTGAGCTTAAATGATGAAAAAAAAAAAAACGGAGATACATGTTTTTCTTTAGATAGCAACAATATGCTCTCTGATCTTGTCTGTGCAAAAATAAATAAATAAATAAATTAACAATAATATGTAGAGTTTTATCAATTTATCAGTTCTGTATTTTGGTCACATTTTTAACAAAAAAAAAAAGGCAATTCAAATTTGATTGTGAAGGTGTGTAAAAATCTATCTAGAACTGTTAAATGTTCAATTTCAAGTACACAATGTCAACACCTTCATCATAAACTGTCATGTTGAATTTACCTGATTCCAAAGTGTACATCAGTTCCACATGAATAAAATACATCACATTAACACAATTCTTGCCAAAAGTAAGTTAAACGGGTGACGGTAACTGTGTTGATGTATTTCATTCATGTGGCACCAACCATCTGAACCGAGTAAATTCAAAGTTTTGTCACACTAAACATAGCTGTTAAACATTAATGGGTTAAACTTAATTAGTGCAGACACATTTAACAGGCTTATAATTGCACAATTAAAATAAAGTGAACAAACAGGACGTTACAGTCACATTTACAGCACATGCACTGCTGCTAAAAGGTTCTTTTCTGTATCAATCTACAGTTGTGGTCCCAGCCTTCCTGCAGACTTTAGCTCTGACCCTAACTGACCCCAACTGACCCCAACTGAAGTATCTAATTACTGCCCTCAGACGTCCTTTAGTCCTGATTAGCTGACTGAGATGATTTGAGTTTGAAGTGAAACCTGTAGGAAGGCACACTCTTAAAAATGATGGCTCTTCAAGGGTTCTTTAGTAAAGAAAATGGTTCTATATAGAACCATGAGCACTCAAGGAACATTTTACATGATTAAAGGTTCTTTGCATCATGAAAATGTTTTTCAGATTGATGGAAAATGTGCATGAATGTGCTACAGATGGTTCTATACAGAATCTTTTTGAAGAAGGTTCTTCTATTGTTGCAAACTTAACATTGTAACAATATAAATAGTCCACATAGAATTTTTCGAAAACGATCTTCAAGGGTTCTTTATTAAAGAAAATAGTTCTATATAGAACCTTAGCACTCAAAGAAACTTTTGCATGATTAAAGGGTTCTTTGCATCATGAAAGGCATCTTCGGGTTTGATGGAGAATGTGCATGAATGTGGTTCTATAGAAAACCTATTTGAAAAGGGCTCTATATAGCACCCATAAGGTTCTTCTATTGTTACAAGCTACAGCACATTCTCCATCAGTCTGAAAAGCCCTTTCATGATACAAAGAACCTTTTAACCATGCAAAAGGTTCTTTGAGTGTTCATGGTTCTATATAGAACTATGTTCCTTACTAAAGAACCCTTGAAGCACATTTTAAGAGTGAAGCTTAACATCGTAACAGTATAAATACCCTACAGAACTTTTCAAAAAGGTTCTATATTGAACCATCTACAGCACTTTCTCCATCAATCTGAAGAACACTTTCATGATAAAAAGAAGCCTTTAATCATGCACAGGGTTCTTTGAGTGTTCATGGTTCTATATAGAACAATTTTCTTTACTAAAGAACCCTTGAAGAACCGTCTTTGTTGAGAGAGTAGATGTGCAGGAGGAGGACTGGTGCCCACTGATCTAGAGGTTCCTGTAGGTTTCAGTAGTTGTTGTGTTCATTCAGCACTGCAGGTGTTGTGTAACATCTGGATTGTGAAGAAAATATTTTAAGTCTAAAAAACAGCAAAACTCCAGAGCCGAATGAGAACCTGCAGTTCTAATAAAGACAATGGTTCTATATAGAACCACAAACACTCAAATAAGCTTTTAACGCTTACCTGTTTCGTTGCATGGTGAAAGTGTTCTTCAGCTTGATGAAGAATATGTTGTACATGGTTCTATATAGAACCTTTTTGAAAAGGCGTTCTGCTACTTTTACAAGCTTACATCATAACAACAGCAGAACCATTTTGGTTCTATATAGAACCATTATTTTTTACTAGAGAACCCTTAAAGAGCCATCTTTAAGAGTGTGCATCTAACATGCTGCCCCACCTCCTTACCTACACACTTAAAGAAGAGGTTCTTCAAGGGTTGTTTAGTAAAGAAAATGCTTCTATATAGAACCATGAACACTCAAAGAACCCTTTACATGATTCAGATTCATGGAGAATGTGTTTTATGTGGTTCCATATAGAACTTTTATGAAAAGAGTTCTATATAGCACCAAAGGGTTCTTTTATCATCACAGGCTTGACATCGTAACAATAAAAGAACTCTTTTTGGTGCTATATAGAACCTTTTTCAAAAGGGTTCTATATAGAACCATCTATAGCACATTACATTTGACCGTTTAATGATGCAATGATGTTTTACGATGTTCTTTAAGTGTTCATGGTTCTACTTAAAACAATTGTTTTTACCAAAGAACCCTTTTAAGTGAGTGCATCTAACATGCTGCCCCACCGACCTTACCTTAACACTTAAAAAGATGGTTATTCAAGGGTTCTTTAGTAAAGAAAATGGTTCTACATAGAACCATGAATACACAAAGAACCTTTTGCATAATTTAAGGGCAGTTTGTATGCTGAAAGCGTTCTTCAGATTCATGGACAGTGTGTTTTCTATGGTTCAATTCAAAACTGTTTTGAAAAGGGTTCTATATAGCACCAAAAAGGGTTCTCCTTGTCACAGGCTTGACACTGTAACAATTGAAGAGCCCTTTTGGTGCTATACAGAACCCTTTTCAAAAGGGTTTTATATAGAACCATCTATAGCACAATCCATGTAAACATTTAACGATGCAATGACGTTTATGAGGTTCTATATAGAACCACATAAAACACACCGTCCATCAATCTGAAGAACGCTTTCACCATGCAAACTGCCCTTAAATCATGCAAAATGTTCTTTGAGTGTTTATGGTTCTATATAGAACCATTTTCTTAATTAAAGAACCTTTGAAGAACCATTTTTTTAGGTGTGTAGGTAAGGCGGTGGGGCAGCATGTTAGATGCACTCACTTGAAAAGGATGATCACATAAGCGCACGTCACAATGGGTTCTTTGTGCAATGGCACAGAAAAAAAAATACATTTGGATCTCTAAAGAATCTCCAAAGAGAGTCTGAAGAACCTTTTAAAGGTTTGGCACACATTTCTATAACAAGTAGATAAGTTTCATTAACACATGGCAGAGTTACATAAACTCATCATGACATCATCATGATAACCCTGCACTATGTTGCATTCTTATCTTTTAATGTAAGTTAATGCAGAAATTATTCATTTCAAGCTATTTTGGACCATTTCTATCGGTCCATTTATCATTCCATTTTAACACAGCGGGCAGCTGGTGTTTTCAAATTAGTTGAAAAATGAAAAATGTTGATACAAGCTTTTGTCCCAACAGCGACGATAAATGTTTATAAGGGTTTGTCTGCCATAAAGGCTGCTTTTGTCAACTTTATTTCTCTTACATTGGGAAACTTTTTTAGGTGAAATGACTTTGTAGCTAGGTGTATAGCACAGTGACGATGCTGATGATGTAATCATAGCTTAGATGTTATAAATGGTAGAATGAAACTCACTTCAGCTAAGCTCACTTTTGGTCAACCAGCCTGACTTGGCCAGCTATGTCACATTACAAGCACTGTCACTGTGATATTCACTGAGCTACAAAATCGATACGATTTCACCACCAGAAATGTTGTGTATTACCTGAAATAGGGGTTGTCAACTTTGTCCAAGTTGGAACCTTTTTGACAAATAACACTTATGGGAATACATATTTATAAACATTTATGTCAGTCTTATCAGTTGCCATATGTAGGTTATGTAGGTGTCATGTAGCCTTATGAACTCTGCTTGACAGTAAAGTTAGCTACATAAAAATACATAATACAACATGCTTTATCACTGATAACCCTCTAAGACATGTTAGATATTTCACATCTAAATATACAGTTTAGCATAGAAAGATGTGCAGAAGCAAGAAAAAATTCTTCAGACTGTTTATAAAAAGATTTTAAATCTGCCTTTCAGGACTCAACAGACAAGTTTCAGCATAATTAAGCCACAGTAATGTGTTAGATTTTATACAATGAAATGAAAACCTTCCTAGAACATTTTCTTTAGGTGTATCTTTGGAAAGGTTCTTCACACTCGCACATCTCATTTACTAGAATAATTCCCTCAAGAACCTTACACTGAAAGCTATTCTACGGAACCAAAAATGGTTCTTCTATGCCAGGGGCGTCCAATTATATCTGCCAAGGGCTGGTGTGGCTACTGGTTTTCATTCCAACATCAGCTACACACATGATCTGTTGTTGAAAGCAGAGACCAACTGATTGAACAAGGAGAATCAGGTGAGCTCCTTGTTTGGAATGAAAACCTGCAGCTACAGCAGATTTTTATGGAGAGGATTGGACACTCCTGTTTTCTGGCACTGCACAATGTTTAATGGTACCTTTTTGTGGTATTCCAGTGCACCTTCTATGTGGTAAACCCCATTTAAAATGCACATGTGCTCTGCTGATCACTGTTTTTTGCCCACAGGTCCAGAGATTGACCCGTTCTGGTACGTGGGGCGCGGCGTGAGGCCTATTGGTCGCTTCGGTAAGCGTGAGAGCGCACGGAGCGTGCAGCCTGTGCTCGGTTCTCTCGAGCTGCTGCTCAGTGCTCTCCGAAGCGAGGAGGGCGCACGCGGGGTCAGGAGCTCAGGCCCCGCACTCGCCCATGACGACGAGGACTGGCTACCGTGACCACGCCTCCAGCCACCAGCTTTACATTTCTATGTGTCCACATTTCCCCCCCAGTTTCTTCTCTCTGCTGCTGTTTTACCTTGTTTATTTCACTGAACTGAAATGGCATCTTTCTGTACATATGCAAATGCAATCTATATTGATAAATAAATGGGTAAACATCACGTGTTGTAAATGCATTCCACATGCTGTAATAAGTTGCATGCACAGATTTGTCTTGAAGTGCGCTGCCTTACAAAGGCACAGAAAATCCTCATTTGTGGTGTAGATGTTGGTGGAAATGTCACTCTTTGTTTTTTTCAAATTCCACCAACGTTTCAAAAATGTCTTCAATAGCTGAGATGTAAACAGAGATTCAGAGTGGTTTGGTGTGAAATGGTTCAGATGTCTTTACAGTGGTGGTGATAGGAACCAGGGGTCGCCATGACTACAACACAGATATAGACATTTTATTTACTATCCAGAACCACCAGTGAACCTACACGAGTCTTCTGAGTTTATATGGAATGTTGATGATGGAAAATAGTGGAAAATCTGAAATAATAAGTTTTCTTTGGGGACTATTTTGCCTCACAGCGCCCTGCATGTATCCCTCCACCATGAATGGAGTTTAAGTTCTCTAAACTATCATAAAACAGCGTCTCAGTCATCAGGCAGTGAATTCATAACCATTTCATGTAGGAACTTTCTGTGAGGGAGCTTTTAGAGGAGGACGTCTGGTTCCTATCACCACCACTGTGAACAATTCTCACTTTACACACACAGACCATTTCACTTTAAAACACTCTTTATGATATAATTATACAGAAATTCCTCTTTAAAATAAAGCATAACTGATTAATTTTGTGAATCAAATTTGAACTCAAATTTGTCCAAAACTGTGTTTCCTGAGCTTCACCTACAGTTCAATCCGTCAAACTGAACACCAGCAAACCGCAGGCAGGTCTCAGTCAGGTATGCAAACTTTATTCATGTACAGTAGAATGCTTTGTCTCAATCAGAACAAGTTTGGCACATGGAAATTCGTCCGAGCACAGTTTCTCCGCTTTGGATTTTCTTTTCTGTTCCTGCTTAAAACACAACGGCCACAAACGATCGCGGAAGTGGGGAGAGGGAGCGCAGCAGTCTCTAGTGCTTCTAGCTTCGCTCCCTTCTCCCTGCAAGAACACAACACGAGCTGGTACTGTCACAGACCCAACGTACAGCGCACAAGACTGTCCATCCTTACATGTCTTGGATTTCTTTATTCGTTAACAAATCCGGACAGGGAATATCACTCTCGTCCTTATTTTCTTTTATACAATAGAAAAATACAGGTACATTGTAAGACGACCTCTTTCTTAACTGTGCTTTTCTTGAGAGAGTTTGTACATCTAGTTGAGATCAGAAACATGCTTTTATTTGCACATAGACATTGCCACAGACGACAAGGAGCAGGACCCATTTGAGACGGTGGCGGAAAACCCAAAATGTGCCAAACAGTGATCTTTTAGACCAGGGGGGGGCGAACTCCAGGACTCCTGGAGGCCTGAGTCCAGCACAGTTTGGCCGTTTTCCTTCTCCAACACACTTAACTCAACTTGCCAGGTTTAGTAGGTGAGTCAGAGGAGGAACTGCAGTTCGCCACTGCTGACCAACAAAGAAACCGAATGCTCAGAACACAACCTTAAGAAATAAAAGTGGCTCCCTAAAGAACCTTTCAATGGATGGTTCCTTAAAACACCAATTATTTGATAGGTTCTTAAGGTAGCCAGAGCTGTCCATGCCGGTGCTCCAAAGAACACCTTTTGGCACCTTTGCAAACAGCGCAGGGGGAAAAACTAAAGTCCATGGGTTTTGAGAAAAGCCTTCCAGTTCATGCGAGTTTATTTTCCTACATTTTCACCAGTGGCTCCAAAATATCTTGCATATGGCACTTCGATCATTGGAACAGTCTATATTAAGGGGTGAAAGGAGTTTTCTTGGAATAAAATGTGATAAAATAAATAAATAAATAGTCTCCTATGAAAGAACGCCGGAATCTAAGCAGCTCAAATCAATTATTGTTGTGTTATCTCCAAAGAGCCAAATGCCCATATGCTTCGATTCTCATTACACAATCAGGCTAAATGTAGAGCAGAATGTGTTCCAAACCACTTGATAAAAGCCGTGTGAAACATCACATTCTGCACAGAGGAAGTGACACAAAGAGCAATGGGAGATGTGAAGAATGGCTTCACCGAACGCAAATGAATCAATTATTTGGAGAGACCACATATTGTGAGGTCTAGAAACGACTCGTTTACCCCCTTACAGGGGAAACTAGTCTCAGCTCTGATCTCAGCTCTGTGGCTTAGATTAGCATGAAAAACAAAACCAACAAGGACTGTTTAAGATTAGGAGGGAAATCGCATCTACAGTCCAACAGCCCACTGAAGATGATTTTACCGAACCCTATAGCTTATCCAGGCATAATACTATTTAAATAAATATGCACGTATGGCTTTATGCTCTCAGTTTCTCAGTGGTTACTATCAGCCTGGCTCAAGCACACCAGGGATGCTACAAGACTGAGGACCATTCTGCTGGCCACTCAATCAGCACTGCAGTGAAAGTGGCTCTCCAGTTAAAGCACGCCTCTGTATCACGCGGTTAATAACCATGGATAATCATTTTGACGCATTTTCCTGTGTTTAGAAAAGAGCAGAAAACGATGTTGACTCAAAATAAAACAATGGGTGAGCTGGACTGCACCAAGAACACTTCTGCATAATCTTCAGCCAGTTCTTAGGTCCTTTAGTGATGGGACTTGTGCTCCAATTACAACTATATTGGTGTAATTCATTATCAGTGCTGCATTAAAACTTAATGTGAAATATTCAGAATTTTCTTTGTTGCATTACAACTATACACACTGGAAGTGATGTAATTAAAATCATTAGTTATACACGTTCAAATTAGATTACTGATGTCTGAAAACACAAATGAATTGCGCTTGGTGTTTAAAGGCCTTAAGATCTGTATTATTGTTATTCATTTAACAGCTGTGGTTTTGAATTTGAGTTATGGTGAGGTACAGTACTGTGTAAAAGTCAGAGACCACATTTCATTTACTTAATTCTAAGTCGAAATGACCATTAAGTTTAACTTATGTACTTTTCAGTGTCAGAAAACCTTATCGCTGCTGTCGAAACAAAACCTCATGTCTCCAACATGGTAACTTTACAGGAGAAGGAAAAAACATACTTTACTTTAATGAAAGTCAATGGAACCAGAGTTTTTTACAAGTGATTTTGGGTCTTTTTGTTTGGTCCAATTATCGTGAAATTTACACACAATGTAAAGAACAACAGGCATTTTCAAATTATGTCAAAAACTGAAAAACAACAAAAATGGAGATGGTTTTGTCCCGACAGCAGCAATATTTAACATATACTTATGCAGAAGCCTCAACTCCTAACTCTACTCTCAGCTGTGAGTCAGTGAGTCACTCTTCACCTTTATTCCAGCTTCCACTCTTTTCAGGAGACTCACTTTCAGCTCCTCAAAGAATCTGCAGACACACCTCCAAAGTTCAGTCTTAGAAGCTGGTTGATGATTTTCTGAAGTAATCAAACACATTCAGTGGTGTTGAATCGTCTTCTCACAGTGGAAGGATGGACAGAAACACCTGTGGATGTTTTCAGATCTGATCAGCTTGATTTTCTCCTCTCTCTCAGAGATGAAAGCTTTAAGTGCTGTTTATCTGATGGGGGCAGTTTTGGGGTCGACCAGCTCTTCCAGGTGGTTGTTAGAGACCTGTTTTCCCAGTAACACTTTATTTGGAGTGGTTCTTTGTAGATGATTAATAAACTCTCAGAGTATCAGTGACACATCAACAGCATATCAGTGCAGCAGCAGTAGTGAAGCACCTGAATACACAAAGGTAAAGCTGTTGTAGACCCTGGACCTAATCCTAACCCTAACCCTAATCCTGGCCTTAATCCTAATCCTAATCCAGTGAAGCTCCAGTTACAGAGTAGTGAGAGCAGCATGTTTATAACAGCTTGTTGTGGATGTTGATGGTCTGTACTGTATCTTTTACATGTTCAGGTTAAAATCTACAGATATGAACTGAATTCAGCAGATTATGAACAAATTTTATTCATACAGTTAATTAAATATCTCTCAATAACCTACTGAATGTATTCACTGCTGCTACATCATTGATATGTTGGTGACGTTACTGAGAGTCTGTCGAGTGTTTGTTTCATCTAAAAAGGACACTCAGAATAAAGTGTCACCATTTCCCCTATAAGGGGGTAAAGATTCACGATGCTTTTAGTGATGGAACCAGAGGGATGGATTTGTTGTAATGCATTATCAGTGTAGCGGTAAAACAACATGAAAATGTGGAATATTCAGAAGTGTTTTTGTGCTTTGTGACTCTGTGGCTTTTAATCGTTCTCTGAACTCCAGTTTTCTCCTTCCTTATTCAAGTGGATTCTCTTACATCAAATCTCCTCAGAAATATCTATTGAAAAATGAATGACTTGCACTGAAAGGCTGTTTTGACTGGAAATTTGATGGAGGGTGGTCTCTGACTTTTACCGTACTGTATTTCAAACATTTATATCAGCCGCTGCCCAACGTGTCAGTGGATTTTCTGTTTCTAAGCACTGGAAAACCCATCAAAATGACCATCTGCAGTAATCAAAGGTAAGATACAAGTATTCCTTTAATACTTCCGTAACATTCCACGAACTGCCAGTCTGTCTGGCCTTATGAAAGAATACTGAAAGAGCAAAGTCAACAGCACTTGTGTGTAATTTACAGGAATGTTTCTAATTGGAGCCACTCGAAGAGTCGCCAAAGAGCCGAGCTTAATTTGGATACCATTGTGGATACACTGGTCTGCACTTACACTATTCAGGGGGATTGGAGAGGGGGCCATCCATACTGATCAGGAAATTGTATGAGGGCCATTGTATTGGAGCGTCCACACCACACACACACACACACACACACACACACACACACACACACACACACACACACACAGTCAACAGCCACTTTATGCACAAAAGGTCAAATGAACAACACTGCTTGACCCTTTGATTCTTAAGGGAGGAAGGACTTTGGATATGATTGTTTTGAACGCTGAGAGATTACACTTCCGTTTTCCTTGTCCTTGGCCAAATAGGGATACTTTCAACATCACACACTGCCCATACAATCAGTACTAGCAATCGATGCTGTGCAAAAGTCAGAGCACCCTTTTGTTTATTTAATTTTTTAGCCAAAATTGAAAATTAAATACATTTGAATTATTTTTTAGTACAAGAAAAAAATCAGGAAACATATCGTCGCTGTCCAAAACAACCCATGTGTCACCATTTTTGTGGATCTTTATTTTTCTACCTCATTCACGATGAATGGACCAATAGAAATGCTCCAAAACGACTAGGAATAAAACCACTTCACATTACCTTACATTAAAAGTTAAAGATGGTTTTGCCTTCTCCAGCTACTATTTTGGGGACACATGTTTTTCTTTGGACAGCGATGATATATTAAATGGAAATTTACACAAAAGTTTACAATCAAATCTATCCGTATGTATTTGGTCCACTGTTTACTTTTTACGAACAATCACACAAACAACTACCCAAACTCACCTCAGCTGCCTTACACATTTCTCTCTAATGAGCATCTGAAATGGCCAAAGGAGGTCTTTTTGAGGAGATTAGACAGAACATAACCCATTTGCATAAGGAAAGAGAGATATAAGAGTCAATAGGGGAGTTTCTAAACCTGGAGTTCAAAAAATGATTAAAAGAGAAAATGGGACTCACGACAACCATTCAAGACCCGGTAGACCACCGACACTGTCCCCGGATAAAAGCTTTGAGAGAGAGGAGAAAATCAAGCTGCTTCAGATCTGAAAACATCCACAGGCGTTTCTGCCCATCCTTCCACTGTGAGAAGACAATCTGAGCTCAGGACTGGCCTTCGCTCTCACCTATTTGTTATTAGCAAAGATACTTTCTTTAGATAGACAAAGTCACTCTGGATAAGTCTGCTAAATGCTGTATATGTAAGACGACTCAGCGCTGTGGGTCTGAAAGGATGTGTAGCTGATCAAGAAGAACCTCACTGAGAAAAGGAGACGGACACATCAAACAAAGAAGCTGAACGATGGACTGACCACCCCAGAGTCCAGACCTCAACACCACTGAATGTGTTTGATTACTTCAGAAAATGATCAACCAGCTTCTAAGACTGAACTTTGGAGGTGTGTCTGCAGATTCTATGAGGAGCTGAAAGTGAGTCTCCTGTAATAAAGGTAAATTGAGGCTCATTGAGGCTTCTATATATATATATATATATATATATATATATATATATATATATATATATAACCTCGTATCTCCATTTTTGATGTTTTTCAGTTTTTGAAATAATTTGAAAATGCCTGTTCATATATATGTATATGTATATATATATAGCTATTCTCACAGTAAATTAAATAAATCAAAGGGTGGCGTCCAACTTTTGCCCAGTACTGTAAAGTGGACATAAATTTGTTATGTATTCATTAAATATAAAAAATAAAATAAAAATAGAAATCTGCTTCAAACAGGTCCTGTGGTGGGTATAAGTTTTCTTTAGTTTCACCATGACATTTCACACATATGACACTCTTACCAAATATAATTCAGCCTATTTTGGGAACACGGGTCATACACAAGTACTTTTTGTGTAACACTATCAACATACAGAACTCAAACACTAAGACACTCTAGAAAACAGTCAGGAAAAAAGAGGGACTGTCATTGTTTTTCTGTGTCCAACAAAATTCCCGGACTGTCATAATTTTTCCATGTCCAACAAAGATACATATACAGAGATCATATATGTATAACTCTAGAATTAGATGGACTTTCAGTAAAGGTACCCTCTGTGATGGTTCGTAGAGGAGCGTGGGCTCCTTTAAGGCAGAGAGAGGAGCAGGTCTCCAGAGCGCTGGAGCTCAGAAGTGTCGCCAAGCTCCAGAGTTTGGTTCAATTCAGAAGCCCAGAGGAGTGATGGTAGATGTCTGGGATGGTTTAGGACCGGATGTGGGATCAAGGCACTGATGTGGAAGAGCCTGGCGGTCCTTTCAGTCACAAGGAGTGGACAGTGGAGCTTGATGTTCACAGACCAGGAAGGAGGTCAACGGTGTCGTCGTCATGGCCGCAAGGTTCTCACCTGCGGCTCTGGTTTGCTCTCTTTTTCTGTGGAGAAAGAAATGATGCATCTTTTAGCTCAGAGGCTTCCAATAAAGCAAGGTCCCAATTCCAGAGGCTGCACTCTTAAAAATAAAGGAGCCAAAAAAGGTTCTTTGGAGTGATGCTATAGATTAAGGCTGGCCTGAACAGCATTTTATAGGCTTTGAATTATGATGTCCAAAAGGGTGCTTGAACACTTATTATCAGTGCTGCCTTTGAAAACAATGATATTTACATTTCATAATGAACCATGCTTTTAAGTATGTTTGTTCATTTTAGATATTTTCAAATAAATCCAAAATATTCAAGTTTTTCCAGTTTGTACAATGCAAAAAATAATAGCAAGTGTAATCATCTTAAAATGTAGTCAATAAATCTAATACTTCTCATTATGAGACTGTTGTTAGAATAGAAATATAAGATTATTCCACCTGTTTCACTTGCTTAAGTGATTTTATCTAGTGAAAGTGTCTTATTCCACTGGCTGATGAGTTTGTTTCGAGAAATAATGAATATAATTTTGCTCATCTCAAGAAATGTTGATAAAACTGCTTAAAACAAGTAAAAATGTGTAGAAATAAGTTAAATAATCTCACAATATTCTTACGACAATCTCAATCAGAATAGTAGATATATAAAGATGTTTACACTCACTACTGATATTATTTTTTGCAGTATAACAAATAGTTTTACACATCCTTTTTGACGTAGGAGACAGATGTGCTGTGACGGTGTATCAGATATTTGCTTACTACGATAGCAGTGATGATGCAGAAGTTCTAGATTTAAAAGCTTTTAAAATCGTTATTTAGTGATGAGATTTTATAGTCATTTATTTACTGAATTGATAACAAACTTCATATTCCATTCTTAACTTCATAGCCCAAATTCAGTTCCATTGCAAGTGAAACAACTTCAAGAGAACTGAGGACTCGGCTGGTTATTTGAGTGCTTTGTACAGTTAAGCTGTTTAGCTAGACTGCTATATCTGTTTATCTCCGCCTCTCAGCTCAGCAGCGGCAAAACATGAGCGTCTTTCAGCAGTAAAATCCATAGCCAAACAAATTAACGTGTATTTTGCTAATTCTCTTTGTTTAAAGTTGTTTGCCATTTTAAAGAAAAAAAATCCCATCTATTTTTAAAAAAAACAGAAATCTTTACAGTGGTGGTGATGGGAACCAGGGGTCGCCATGACAACACCACAAATATAGACATTTTATTTACTATCCAGAACCACCAGTGAACCTACACGAGTCTTCTGAGTTCATATGGAATGTTGATGATGGAAAATAGTGGAAAATCTGAAATAATAAGTTTTCTTTGGGGACTTAATTGACTTTAAAAATATGTTTTAGACCAAAATCTTCTCAAAACTATAATAAACAACAAACCAAACCACTCTGAATGAGTTTGTTTACATCTAAACCATTTAATTATGCAGAAATAAAATGGTGGTGTTCCCCTTTAATATCTTTCACTAACTTATCTCACTTCAGTCCCCCTTTTAAGGAAAAGGGGGGGACTTGTGAAGTTGTCTGTGTGTGTGTGTGTGTGGGGTGTTTAGACTAACGTTACCTGGGTATAACATTTATAGCCTAATTTCATGTCCATTGTTAAGTAATTGGCAATTTCGGCAATAATGAAGTGTTTTGTGACAAATAAGCCTATAACTGAAAATTTTAGGAACCTACAAGAGAGCTGTTGTCATGCATCCCTCCAGGAGGGACCCCAGTTCCCATAACCCCATGGATGATCACATGACTCCTCCACACACGACCTGTCCGAGATCAGCCTCGCCTGAATTCTGATTAAGTTCCCCTGTTCTGTCTGTCACGTGATCTGTTTAGTTAGCCTTTTAAGCCCAGCCTTTAGCTTAGACACTGTTTGAGGTATTGCTGCTGTTACCGGAGCTACTGAGCGTTTCTTGGTGTATTCTGGTTTGTTTTTCCTGTTTATTGACTCACTGCCTTTTTGTCTTTTCCCCTTGACTTTGTTATGATGGCGTTTTCTGGGTTTTGGATTGTTTTGAATTTGACCTTGTCTATTTTTTGACGACAACTGCGGAACTCACTAGTACGCACACATCATTCTGTCCTGCTACAGCTGTAGAATTCTGGTGGGCTCTAAAGGGTTAACAAAAGATGAAGCTTCCGAATGCTCGATAAGGAACTCCATAACAGATTTATTGCTGTTAATTAGATTTGTGAGCGTGAAGGGACTTTTTAAATGTTCCTCCACATAATGTAAAGATTTTGAAGCAGTGGTCACCAACCCTCCTCCTGGACACCTACTTTCCTGCAGAGTTTAGTTCCAACCTGCGTCTAACATGTCATTACTGCCCTTATCTAACTCTAATATGTCTGATCCAGCCAATCAAGGACAATCAAGTTGATTAGCTGCAGCAGGTTGGTTAGATTGTGGTTCGAGCTACAGTCCACAGGACAGTAAATCTCCAGGACCAGGGTTGGTGACCACTGTTTTATACCAATTACAGTCTTTTCCTAGAACTGTACATCCATACCAAGAACCATTCAGGAACCTCCATTTGTAAGAGTGTAGGTGATGAATGCTCTGCATATTTTTGCATTTTCACATCATCTAAAACGTGATTCAACTCTTTGGCTGATTATGAAGCCCTTCGTGAGGTGGATCAAGAGTGATAAAGCAATGAAAGATACAAAACATGCAGAAAACGTTTCTCTGGAATTGGGAAGCGCCTCAGTAAGAGTCCTCAGAGCCCTCAGCCAGTCCACATCTTACTTTCAGCAGAGTCAGATGTTTAATTCTTAGTTTAACCCTAAGCTGCAGCTATTGCTGTGCTAACAAAAGCACTCTACATTAATTTTACACTCTTAGCTTGCAGAAATTCTGATTAACGTTGAACTGGTAGCACATCTGTGAACATCTGTGAGGATATGATTTGAATAGGATGTGAATTTTCAATATGATTTAAATTTGATTAAAAGGTATCGCTGCGTATGTCGTCTTGTTTGGTAGAAAAACACGTTTTTGTCATTTTTAAAGTTGAAACAAATGTTTACACTTAAAACAGTTAACTCTTTAGTAAAGACAATGGTTCTATATAGAACCATGAACATTCAAAGAACTATTTGCATGCTTAAATGGTTTGCATGGTGAAATGGTTCTTAGATTGTCGAATGTGCTGTATAAGGTTCTATATAGCACCAAAAAGGGTAATGCTACTGGTACAAGCTGACATTGTAACAGTAGCAGAACTCTTTTTGGTGCTATATAGAACCCTATTCAAAAAGGTTCTAAAAAGAACCATATACAACACACTATCTATCAATTTGAAGAACAATTTCACCATGCAAAGAACCCTTTAAGCATGCAAATAGTTCTTTAAATGTTCATGGTTCCACATAGAACCCCTGCCTTTATTAAAGAACCCTTGAAGAACCATATTTGGTCCCACTTTGTTTGGATAGTCCACTACAGTCCTCTATAGATCATCTACAGATATTCAAATTGTTAACAAACTATCTGTTGAAGCTCAGTTGATTGTTAACAGTGGTGAGGTTAGGGTTAGGGCTAGGACCAGGGTGAGGGTCGAGGTTAGGTTTTGGGTTGAGGTTAAGGTTAGGATTAGGATTAGAGCAGGTTTAGAGTTAAAGAACATTACAGTTAATTTAATGTAGATATTTAGTTGAATGTAACTTGACAGTAAATTAAATATCTACAAAGCATCTACAGTGGACTATCCAAATAAAGTGTTATCTATATCAAGAGTTCAGGAGTGTTACCCCATTTCAAGATTGTAGAACTGCAGATTCAAACGTGTAAATTGATGTAACTAGCTTGGTAATTACATATGTAATTACATAATTAAACTCTTAATAGTCGTAGTATAGCAATATAACAGTAATAGCTACAGATTTAGGGCTCAGGTGTGTTAAAAACTAGAATGGAACAAAACCATGCACTGGCTGTTGGACCCTCAAAGACTGGACAGGGAAACCTTCACTTTAGGACTCAGCTGAACTTCAGGATGGTTGCTGAATATCATTGAAGGGTGTACATGCAGTACAAGGACAACACAACATGAAGGGAAACAACTTCCATAATCTTGTTTAGCTCTAATGCAGACGTGTTTCCTCTCTTAGTCCTCTTATACATGCAATGAAACGTCGTCATGCACTTAAGCAAATGGAATTATAGGAATCGACGGCCTCAAAAGTGTCATCTCACTAATCCTCACGGAAATGACTAACAAAACAAAGAGTCATCAGACGACACTTGACCGGTTTCCTGCTGCAAAAAGAAAAAAAAAACTGATAAGATGAAGAAGGAAGAGTGGAAAAGTCGTAATGAGAAAAGTATCATCAAACTGTTCCAGCTGGAGTGTGTGACAGAGGCTGAAAATCAGCTTAACGCTTCCTATAGGACAGCTATCGCTCCGTGATCAATAAGATTACGTGACTAATTCTAGAACAGGAATAAGTCCGGCCTTTGAAGCTGTAACTAAAGGTGGAAAAATAAAAGCAAAGTGAGTGAATCATGGTCATCAGCAATGACCAGAGCCAAAGAGAACCGGCATTAATTAAAAGGAGGATCTTTAGAAAAAAACAGGCCTCTGAGAAACGAGGAGAGGAGAGTGAAAGACGGATAATACTACTGGCCGATTCCGTCTCTCTAATGGACCTCGTCTTTCTCGTTTTTCTTCTCTCGCTTCGCGCTCAGCCTGGCTCATTTAGTCGCACACACTTTTACTGATCCTGCTCACCTTTTCATTCTAGCGTTCTCTTTTTTTAATCAAAACATGTAATGTTGGAGCGAAAACAGATTTTTTTCGCCTTCTTTTCAGATCAGCATCATCTCAACGGGGGAAAAGGTGTCCTTTCTCCTCTGAACCAGAGAGAATGGTCGCTCGAGGGATTTTAGCATCGATCGATAGGCGCATAAACGCGCTGCCGCACGGACACTTTGATGACACACTGAGATGCAAGACATGCACAAAATGGCCAAAAGGAGACGGGGAGATGAGCGTGTGTCCGTTCAATGATGGAACAGTTCTCGATCCACAGAGGAGGGACATTTTGACTCCTTTGAGGTCACTAAACATGCAGCATTACGCGTAAAAGTGACATTGGGAGGAAGAACATGAGCTCACATAAACAAAGCTAGAATTCGAGGTTAAACGTTTATTACACTGTTGCTGAAGCACTGGAACAGCTTTACAAATACCTAATCGGCCAATGAATGTGTTCTAACAGTCTATGTACAACCAGTGATGCATTCAAATATAAATGTGTTTAATTCAAAGATTTTTTAAACACATTCCGATTATAGATTAAGACGAGGTGTTTTTATCTCACTCTACTCAACAATCTGATGAAAATCTCTGTTTACATTCACACTAAGGAAGCTGGCGAATGAGAAGCTGATTTCAGACTTGTAAAAAGTTGAACATTGAGAGACATTTTACAGCTAAAAGCTGAGCAAAGTCAGTCTGTGTTTTTGTTTATATTATATTTTTAGTCTATACTAGAACTAGGCTCCTAAGGGGGTTTGAGTTTTTTCCTGAAAGGATAAAATGTCTCTTCTTAACATTTGGGTTGCGACCCCTGGTTTAGTTTAATGTCAGACCATTCCAGTTTCCATCATTTGTACCTTTTTTTTTTTACCCTGTTGTGACAGAGGGACACTATCCATAACCTGCAGCAGTTTGCATAAGTTTAAATGTCTGCAGTGTGGAACTATTTTAAAATGGAAAACTTTAATATCAGCAATCTGGCTGTTTTGACCAGTTTGACAGTTTTGAATTAGCCTCCTTTCAGACAGAACACAGCTGTTATGCTCAAGTCTATTTTCTGCAGTTTACCATGAGTGACATGCCACCAAAACCATTTAAAAAGTGAAATAAATAAATAAATAAAACACGACTGCTTAAAAACAAAAGTTCCACAGAAACGTTCTGGTTTACACTGTTAGAAATAAAGGTTCTGTTCAGGTACATTTTACATTCATCAAGGTACAAACAGGTGAAAAGTTCGTATTTGTACCTTTTCATAACCGAATGTTTTAAACAGAACAGTAAAATAAAAGCCTGGAGACGAGATGGGGTGTGTGGAGTCAGTACAGCTTAGAACATATCATTTCAGTGGATTATGGTTCAGTTATGTTCCCTGACTAAAGGTACTGAGATGGAGCCTTGAGGGACCCACCCCAGTGACAGGAGGGAAACTGCCCCAGTGACAGTTTAGCACCTTTATTTCCAGGAGTGTATATAGTGAGCAGGTGTATAGAGTACAGTACCCGCAGCAGTGCCGTGTGCCGTTTTTGAGTTTAAACCGGCATCAAGCCATAACGAGAGAAGAGTGAAAATCAACAAGCGATGACCAGAGCCAAAGAGAACCGGCATTAATTAAAAGGAGGATCTTTAGAAAAACAGGCCTCTGATAAACGAGGAGAGTAAAAGACTGATAATACTAGCTCAGAGTAAGGGGCGAGCGTCAACATGGTCCAACAAGCCACCCGTTATCCACAGCAAACAACAATAGCACTAAAAAATACACTATATAGACGAAAGTATTGGGACACACCTCTTAATAATTAAATTCAAGTGTTTAATTCAGCCTCATTACCACAGCTGTTTAAAATCAAGCCCGTAGCCCTGCAGTCTGCCTTTACACACATTAGTGAATTAGTGGGTCTAAAGAGCTCACTGGATTCAAGCGTGGTGCTGTAATAAGAGCCCACCACTGCAACAAGTCAGCTCATAAAATGTCTTCCCTCCTAGATATTCCACCATCAACTGTGAGTGGTATTACTGAATAAAGCGTTTAGGAACCACAGCAACTCAGCCATGAAGTGCCAGACCACGTAAAGTTACAGAGCGGGTCGCCGAGTTCTGAGGAGCATAGAGAATAAAAGTCTCCAGCACTCTGCTGATCAATAACTGCAGAGTTCAAACCTCCTCTGGAATCAACATCAGCACTGAAACTGCACCGGGAGCTTCATGGCAGGGTTTCCATGGCTGAGCAGCCGCATACAGCCTTACATCACCAAGCACAATGTCAAGCGTCGGATGGAGTGGAGTAAAGCGCCGCCACTGGACTCTGGAGCAGTGTAAACGTGTTCTGCGGAGTGAATCAGCTTCTCTATCTGTCAGCCTGATGGACGAGTCTGGGTTTGGCGAATGCCAGAAGAACGTTACCTGCCTGACTGCACTGTGCCAGCTGTAGAGTTTGGTGGAGGAGGGATGATGATATGGGGCTGTTTTTCAGGGGTTGGTCTAGAACCCTTAGTTCCAGTGAAGGGGAATCTTAATGCTTCAGCACCAAGACATTCTGGACAATTGTACACTTCCAACTTTGTGGAACAGTTTGGGGAAGAACCATTCCTGTTCCAGCATGACTGAGCCCCAGTGCACAAAGCAGCTCCATAAAGGCCTGACTGGGTGAGTTTGGTGTGGAAGAACTTGACTGACCCTCACAGAGCCCTGACCTCAACCCCATCCAACACCTTTGGGATGAACTAGAACAGAGATTGTGATCCAGACCCTCTCGTCCAACATCAGTGTCTGACCTCACAAATGCTCTTCTGGATGAATGGACACAAATTCCCACAGACTCTCTCCAACATCCTGTAGAAGCTTCCCAGAAGAGTGGAAGCTGTTAGAGCTGCAAAGGGGGACCAACTCCATATTAATGCCTATGCATTTAGAATGGGATTCATTAAAGCTCCTGTGGGTGTAATAAGTGGGTGCCCCAAAACTTTTGTTCATATAATGTACATGAACACCTGTACTGACCACTGAGAGAACAATTCCAAGTGCAATTAAATAAACTATTAAGAAGGAACAAGAATAAAAATCAAACAATGGTATGAATTTATCCAAAGCTAGGACAGACGACATATCCTGTTGGCAAACAAGCCAAGAACTCTCTTTTCTCCTGAGTTAATGTCTGCAGAAGTGGTTCCACTGAATTGATTTTGTGCATCGAGTACAAAGCGGTTGCCACTTTTCTCAGAGCGTGTTCAGCTGTCCAATGACGCTAAGACGCTGTGGCGCTTCACAGGTCTCGGAGGAAGCCTGTGTTTGCCTTCACCCTCCCAGCGCTGGCGGTATCGTGTGACTGGGGGAGTCCTGACTAGTGGGTGGAATTGGAAACGACTAAATTGGGGAGAAAATTGGGTAAAAAGGAAAAACAACAAAAAACAAAACAAACAGCATTTACCAGTGCCTTGAGAGAAAGGAGCAGCCTGCTGCACACACTGCGAATTCATAGAGTATTTGCAACACTACTAAAATGTTATTTCACCTGTGTAGGCCAAAAATGCCTTTAAGCATATACGTTAAGACTGAATACTATTACGCATATATAACAAATTAAATTATTTTAGTGCAGCGTTTTAAAGTAAATGGCAGCCAAATCATCAGGAAGCCCAATTAAAATGGATCATAATCAGTATTAAATAGATTACAAGATCAGATTAAGTCATTTAAAAGTAGGCCAAAAAAACAAATCAGTCTAGAACGTCATATTATGTACATATCAAAACCGAAGTGATCTTGCTGTAGTATTAATTGACTAGCACATCTTACATAAATAGTGCGCATGTGTTATCTTGATCTTAATCTGGGGTATCGGTATCGGCCGATACTCAACATTATGCTACTCTGATCAGATCAGACATTCCTAGTTCTGATCATGAAATGACCATATGTAAATTTTACCAACTATTTCATTGTTCATCTGATGGTCTGGTTGTAAATTTGTGTTAATTTGTAAAAAAAAAAAAATGCTTAATTAAAACCATCATCAGTATCACCAGTATTAGCAGTAATATCAATAAAATAGAGAAGAATCATGATATAATAACTGCACAACAGAAGCTGAATCGTCAGCTGATAGTTTGAGGACTCAGAGGTAGAAGAGTGCATTGCGGTCTCCCAGGCGCTCGAATCTTGTTTCTACGCGACTGTGATGAATGAGGGCCGCTGTCTTACTCAACAGCCACCAACTGGGATCAAATCCGTAGGTCCAGAGACAAATTCACCAACAACGGAGTGACCAACACTTTGACAGACAAGACGTGAACAAACACGTAAAGGGACCGGTGTACCTCTGGGAGGAGGAGCGGGCAGCTTTCGCCTCTGCTGGCGTGAGGAGTCCAGGGTCTGAGGCTGACACATAACACACATCCAATTACATAAACACGGCTAAAATCGAGCCAAATACAACACGAGTACACATGCAAACGAACCGACACCATTAAACTTGCTCATAAGTCTCACTGCTGGAGCACTTGTTTCCTGATACTATAAAAAAGGGCTGTATATAATATAAAAAGAATAAGCAGCTCTTTTTATGATGACTATTGTACTTATTATCATTTATTCTTAATGCTATATAAGAAACATCCTGCTAGTGCTATAACTACTACAACTACTACTACTATTACACTACTATTAAGGGCTCTTTAGGTAAGGGAATGGTTCTATGTAGGTTCTTTGCATGGTGAAATGGTTCCTCAGACTGATGGAGAATGTGTTGTATGTCGCTGTTGTTGGAAGAAAACCTTGTATCTCCAAAATTATAACTTTACAGGAGAAGCCAAAACATACTGTACTTATAATGTAAGTCAGTGGAACCAGATTTTTCTCCAAGTCATTTTGGGCCGTTTCTTTTGGTTCATTCTTTATGAAATTTACAGACAATTTAAAGAGAAACAGGCATTTTCAAATTAGGTCAAAAACTGAAAAAAAAACGACAAAACCTTAGATACGAGGTTTTCTTCCGACAGCAGTGATATGGTTCTACATAGCACCAAAAAGGGTTGCATACTAACTATAGCAGAACCCTGAAGAAACATTTTATGATACAAAGAACCATTTAAGCACGACATGGTTCTATACGGAGCTCATAGTTCTAGATAGAACCTTTCCCTTTACTAAAGAACCCTTGAAGAACCATCTTTGTTAAGAGTGAACTGTTTCTAATGCTACTACTAACATTCAGTGGTGAGTTTAATTTTGTAAGCACTGCTGAAGCCCATGAGAAACTCACCTTAGGCTTGGGCTTGTACTTGGAAAACCGTGAGCATGCAGACACATTCAGGCCGGCGTTTTTAAGCGCTGATATCCTCGCCTCAATATCGGAGATCTATGGGAAGAGCAGGAGGGTGAGAAGAGCTAAAGTATGCCTGATACACTGATACGTGCTTCCAGTTAAAGGGTGGGCAATACGGCACAAATATAACATCACGATACGTGAAGACATTTTTACGCTATGTGTTACAGTTTGTTATTGACGTCTAGTTTTAGGTTCGCAAAACTTAAACAGTAATGCTGCAAAAAATAGTATCTTGTCAAGTGAAACGATCTTAAATCTAGTCAGTATATCGAATATTTCTTTTGTGCACTTATAATAAGATTATCTAGCTTATTTCTAGACATTTTTACTTGTTTTAAGTAATTTTATTAAGTAAAATTATCTCACTATATTGGCAGATAATGTTAGGGAGATAATTTTACTCAATACAAATCACTTAAAACAAGTAAAAAATGTTTGGAAATAAGTTACATAATCTTAAATTAAGCTTACAACAATCTCAACAGGAGAAATATTAGATTTATTGACTATATTTAAGATCATTTTACTTGACAAGATGCCATTTTTTACAGTGTAGAAAAGATCCAATTCCAAGTTTAGTGTTTTTTTTTTTTCTTTAACTGAAAAATTTATTATTAAGAAATAAAAAGAACAAAAACACTGGTTAAAAAAAAAAGTGTCATATTGGGTTAATATTATATCAGCTATTTGTTACTGTGTGGTTTATAGATACAGTTGCATGCAAAAGTTTAACACCCCTGCTCAAATGACAAGTTAGAAATAAGGAACAAAGTTTTTTCTGCAAATTTTTAGTTCCCATTGTCTATGTATTTGATAAAAATTAACAAAAAAGAAAAAAAAAGTACAATGTGCCATAACTTTTGCACAGGGATCATGTTTGTTTTTTACAATATGCTAATTTCAGCAAATAAACAGTAATCGTTCATTAGAATGTGCAGATGTGTTCTCTTGGGGGTGCCCAAACTTTTGCATGTGACTGTACAGTCTCTCTGTGATTGGTCTGAATCTTTAATCTCTGTTTTTTGTTATTAAATCTTGCAGTTTTTCAGTGTTTTAGGGTAAAAAGTGTTTTATGATGTTGTTTATCACAAAAGCAAAAACTGTTCCCCATCGTTACTTCCAGGTTTACGAACTTTTATTATGGAATTATGATTTGAAATTGTGAAATTGGGCAGACTTCGATTTCCAAATAACCAAATGACCACTGTCCACACTGTCCTTCACCCACACATACACACACCTGTAGCTCGGACTGCTGCACCTGAGCAGCGGCGGTGGCCACCTGGTCCTCCAGGAAGGCCAGTTCTGTCTCGGTGGTGGAGCTGCTGATGCTGCGAGCGCAGTCTTCCAGGTCACTCAGCGCCCCCTCCAGGCCGTACACAGCACCTGCAGCCAGGTACACCTGCACACAGAACACAGATGAGTATGATTTAGAGCTGTTTCCCAGCTCCAGCCCTGTCATCACCTGTCACTGCATGCAGATTCATGTTTTCGCTGCTGTTGATATGCTAAAGTCCTTCTGGAGTCAAATTATGGATTTACAGCATACACACAAATTTATGGCCATGAGGACAGAAGGATTTTCCTTGTTTTAACTCTGCTTAAGCAGTTAACAACACTTAAAAACACTGCACATTAAAATGCCACAATAAGATTCATTATTGGGTACAGTCATTCAGGAAATTCACCTAAACCAAATATAGCTCTCCTCCAAACAAAATCTCTGGTCACAGTAAAAAAAATATAAAAAAACATAAATAAAAAAAAACAAATAGTTTCTTGCAATGGTGTTATCCGAGTGCTGCTCATAAATTTTGACCGTAGATTTACACAGTGAGGGTCAAATGAAAGGTCAGTCAAAACTCAATAACTGTACATTTTGTTCAAGCTTAATTTGCGGGGAAGGTATTTTAAGGGTAAGCAAAAATTTTAGCACCCCTGGTCAAATGACATGATTTGTTGATTTTCTAAGTGAAAATAAGTGAAAACATCCTCTACAGGAAACACATCACACATTAACTTAGTGACAATTTCCATTTATTTGGCAAGGTTAACATTTTGGGAAAGAAATGAAATGTGCCATAACTTTTGCACATGCCACTTTTTGTTTTTTTTTGTTTTTTTTTTTCCCCAATATGTTAAATTCAGCAAACAAGCAGCAATTGAGCATTAGGATATGTAGAAGTGTGTTCTCTGTAGAGCATTAGAGTGTTCACTAATTACTTTTAGAAAATCAACAAAAACGTAATTTGACCAGGGCGCCCAAACTTTTGCATATGACTGATTTCATCGCAGCAGTGTTTAGAAAGCAAGCAAAGTTTGATTCATGTAGATATAGCAATAATACAAAAAAGTGAAAACAATTGCTTTCTCAGTAGACCTTGCATCCAAAATAAATAAATAAATAAATAAATACATATGTACAGAGCACTTTTCATGCCGGTCGCAGCTGTAAATGCTTTACAGACAGGTGATAAGGCTTAACAGCGATAGAAGAAACTATGAGTATTACCTTAAAAAAATATATGACGTCAGATCAAATTGAAAAAAGATGAACATGGCTAAAAAAATGGGGTAACACTTTCTATGAATGTCACCTTTGTAAGCATCTATAAACACATTCATAACATGTTATAATGTATTCATAAGGCATTATAAATGTGGTTATACATATTTATAAAAATAAATTAAATGTTATAACCATGCTTATTATGCATTATGAATTGTTACCATAATACATTATAAGTACTGATCATAACAAATTATAAGAGCTCATAAGTGGTATTTGTCCGCTCTAAGTAAAGTGAAGCGTACTGTACTAAAGCCTCCTCCAGTGTTCAGAGTGAGGCTTCAAGTTGAAGTATTTACTGAAACACTAAAACATTCACAGTAAAGCACATTACAGGCTTCAAATGTCAGAGTTTAAACTAGAGCTGCCATCAGTGTTTTACCCAATGTGGGAAAGGTAATGTTCACCACCGTTAGCTTGGCATTTGTCTTTACTTTACGCTCTCCAAGCTGGGACTGACGTCTTCGGCACTGACAGTATAACATGTTATTAACACTATTTATAATGCATTAACAATTCATAATGTATAATAAACATGGCTATAAAGTGTAATCCAGTGTAATTCATTTTTATGTGTTTATAATCATGTTTATAATGCCGTATGAAGGCATTATAACGTTATGTGTTTATAGATGCTTACAAATGTGACACTCATAGAAAGTGTTACCAAAAATGGTTCCTGTTCTGATGAAAGGAACGATTCCTGAAAGTGAACATCAGTGTTCCTCTCTATCCTTTATTCTTCTCCATGTGAATCAGCCTGAACAAGGCTTGTTCATCATTTTTGTGTCCTGTGTAATCTTACATTCTCCTCCATCTTGGTGAGATGCTGGTCCAGTTTCTTGCTGTCCGGTCCTGAGGAGAGTGGTGTGCTGGCCGGGGACTCGACGGGGTCGTGACCTTTGCCCTCGGCCTCCCCGATTAATTCCTCTGTGGCGTTCAGGACCTTCAGGACCTCTGTGGTGATGCTGCATAAGGAAGCAGCCGAATATTTCTGGTGAGAAAGAGACACAAGAAAGAACAATGTTGAACTGACTCCGCCCACAAGTGCATTCTTTCATAGCTAGGGTTTGTGAGGTCAGATCAGCTTTACAGAACCTTTCAAACTTCATGAGAAACTGCGGTGAACTCAGTGTAGAGTGGAACATCTAACAGTCCTCTTTAGTTATTTATTAACAAATAAAGAGCCAATCACAGCAAAGATCATTTAGAAGGCCTGTCACTATCCCTGCCTTTGAACTTGACCCAGTCAGCTACGCTTGACTTAATTAAAATTAGAGATATTTTGATTAAGCAGATCTGAATCAGGAGCTACACCATGTAATACACACACTTAAAGATGGTTCTTCAAGGGTTATTTAGCAAAGGCAGTAGTTCTATATAGAACCATCAACACTGCAAGAACCATTTGCATGCCTAAAGGGATTCTTTTATGATGAAATGATTCTTCAGGTTGATGGTTCTATGTGGCACCCAAAAGGGTTCTTCTATTGTTATAACCTTGACATCATCACAATAGTAGAACCGTTTTTGGTGTTGTACAGAACCATCTACAACACAATCTCCATCAGTCTGAAGAACAATCTCACCATGCAAACAACCATTTAGGCACACAAATGGTTCTCTGAGTGCTCATGGTTATATAGAACCATTGTCTTTAACTAAAGAACTCTAAGAATCATCTTTATTTAGAGTGTAATATGTATAAAAAAAAAAAGTGTCAGTGGTTTAATGTCATACACAATAATGTTATACACTTAGTCACTCAAGTGACAGTTTTGTTGATTTTCTAAGTGAAAATGAGAACACATTCTATACAGGGAACAAAACATTGTATTTTTTGGCAAATTTTAGTTCACAGTGTCTATGCGTTTGCTGAATTTAATAAAAAAGTTAAAAACAAAAACAAAAACAAAAACAAACACACTTTAAAATGTGCCATAACTTTTTCACAGGCCACATTTTGTTTTATTTTTTCCAATCCGTTAAACTGAGCAAATAAACAGGAATCTTGCATTATAATGTGCAGAAGTGTGTCTCAGTAGATGTGTTCACTTATTTACACTTAGAAAATCATAAATCTCTGCTTTCCATGCAAAAGAAGGCAACAATGACTAACTAACTGTTTATTACGACTCACTTTATATGAACTAGGGGTGCGATTCTTAGATGCAACGCGATGCGGACGTGAACGATTCTGAATTGATTAACAAATGTCAAAAATCGATTTTCTAAATATTTAATTTATACCGTAATGTTGACGGAACGCAAAAGGCGGAACTTGGAAGTGGGGAAGTGCAGCGCCCGGACAGTCTGTGTCACATAACAAAAACACAGCTGGATGAGTGAGAAATCCGACCGGCTCCCTCTGCATTAAAGCCAGGTTAGGTCAGGAGTCACAACACAAATGATAAGAAGAGACATTTTGACCTTTCAACAAAAAGCAAACCACCTTGGGAGCCACAACATTTAATGTCCAGTATGTCTCAGTATGAGCTGATGTCCTAGTATAGACTAAACAATATAAACGAGAGCTCAGATTTACTCTGCTCTGCTTTAGCTTTAGCCGCTTTCCTCCCATCTCCACCAGGAAACTTATTCAAAACTAGAGCAGCTAATTGTAAAAAGTCTCTCATCGTTCGACTGTTTTCCGAGGCTGAAGTCGCTTCTTATTCTCCAGCTTCTTGTTCGAATTTACCCGTTCCACCTTAAATTCTGACTGAGGCACCGAATGTAAATGTGACACCATTTAAGGTGGAATGGGAGAATTCGAAAGAGAAGCGAGTTCATCTTCGCAACTGTTTAGTGTTCGACAGTCTTTTTACATTTAATGTACCAGGAAACCAACTGCGCTGCTTATAAATGCGAATAACGCATCGCTGCTATGTGACCTGCAGTCTGCACACCAGTTCACAGTCATTGCGAAACAGGGCTTTCGCGCTATGCTGCACATGACGCGTCTCAAAGATACTTTACTGACACAGCGACGTCTCTACGATGAGACCAAAACCGAAGTTATAAAATCACTGAATTAAACTGGTAGGACGGCTGTAACGCACTGCATGGTCATCCATCACCACTGGACCTTATTTCACTGTAACTGCGCATTTTATCACAGATGAGTAGCAGCAGCATCTCATGCTCCAAACTAGAGCAGTGAATGAGAGCCTTCCAGTTCACTGACCTCATCACTTCCATTTGATTTATTAATAAAAGACATTGGAAGTAAATTCATTATGGATCAATACAGATACTTTGCTTTAAAAGTACCAAGTCACTTTAAATAACAACACCGAGTCACTTAGACACTTTAAAATGTATACTGTCTCTATATTCTGTACATATTTTGTGTATATTTAATTTCAGTTGGTTTTTATTTTTACTTATTTCCTTTCTGTAGAGTGACTATCTGAGCCTCACCACGAGCATTTCAATGCATAAATGTCCTGACATGTTCTGCAAATGACAAGTAAACTTGAAACTTGAACTCACACAGTGAGTAAATAGAAATACTGTATAGAAAAAAAAGATGCATCGATAATCGTTTTATAATCGCATCGCAGCCTCTGAATCGTAATCGAATCGAATCATGAGGTGCCTAGAGATTCCCACCCCTAATATGAACTGTAAAAATTTCATTTACAGGTAATTAGAGTTTACTACCTTTATTTCTTAATTTTACTACCAACTAGTTACTCTTAAAATTACTAGCTTATTGTTAATTTACAACCCAAAAAAACAAAGATTGAGAAAGAAGTTCTTAGATCAGGCGTGTGTTTCAATGGTGGAGAGACCTCTGAGAGCTGACGAGGCTGAAGACAACTTCCTATTCGCCAGCTTCTTGTTAAAATATTTCCTGTTTCACCTTAAATTATGCAGCACTTCTTATTATAAACACCTCCTGTGCCAGAATGTAATTGCTGCACCATTTAAGGTGGAACGGGAAAATTCAAACAAGAAGCTGGCGAAAAAGAAGCCGACTTCAGCTTTATTGAGAGTTGAAATGCATGAAAAAGGATGAGGAGGCTGCTCTGTTTCTGCTTGACCAGTGGGTAACTAACTTATTTTTGCTGTTTTATAGACTTAACAGGTCAGTATTGTTTGTAATAGCAACTGGTCAGCTTTGCAGCAGCAACTGTAGCAAGTGTGCTAACCCACAGCTCAGCTAACGTTAGTTACATCACTTGCTGTGTTGCCGTTCACTATAACGTTGTATTATAGTTTTCACGTTAGCATGTTTGCAAAGGGTTTTATGGTCACAAGGATCTAAAAAAAGTTCGCTGGCCCAGTGTCTTTAACCTTGGCAATGTACATCCATAAATTTGGGCGGAGCTTCTGAAGGACCCCTGAAGGGAGGGGTGTGTTTGTTTTGCTGTTCATTTTAAATATCAACAATCATTCTCACCTTCAATGCAGCGCTCCAGACCCCTAACACACACTCACACACACACACACACACACACACACACACACACATATATATACACACACACACACACACACACAAACGTATACAGAGGTGCCTCACTGCTCTTCATGCCCGGCCTGTGAGCAACACTGAGATAAAAAGGAATGAAGAAAGCCTCTCTGACCTCACACACTGCAGTGTGTCAGCAGATGAATCAGTCATGAATGCATACGTGCAGCTCTGCACGTACACACGCTCACGCAGAGTGCGCAGAGTCCAGTGTCCAGACTTTGATCAGTCAATTCAGCTACTTTAGGAGAATAACCTGCTGTGGAGCAGCTGCATATCATCAAAACCTTCTATCTCCAAAATAGTAGCTTTACAGGAGAAGGAAAAATATTCTTAACTGTTAATGTAAATTAATGTAATGAGGTTTTGTTCCAAGTGATTTTGAACCGTTTCTATTGGTCCATTCATTGTGAAATTCACACAACGTCAAGGGCAGCCAGTATTTCAGATTATTTAAAGTTTTATTCTCTAGAGTGGTATTTATGATCCAGAACTGATCATCCGACAGCCGTACACTATAAAGGTTCTGTGCTGGTCTGTTTCTCGTTCATCAAGGTACAAACAGTGTAAATGTTCCCTCAAAGCTCCAACAGTGGTTTTAAGGTCTGATTGTGAACCTTAAATAAGTGTTTCCAGGTGAAAAGTTCGTATTTGTACCTTTTCATAACCGAATGTTTTAAACAGAACAGTAAAATAAAGTCCTGGAGACGAGACGGGGTGTGTGGAGTCAGTACAGCTTAGAACATATCATTTCAGTGGATTATGGTTCAGTTATGTTCCCTGACTGAAGGTACTGAGATGGAGCCTTGAGGGTTCCACCCCAGTGACAGGAGGGGAACTGACCCAGAGACGGTTCAGTACCTTTATTTCTGAGAGTGTATATAGTGAACAGGGCACAGTTTTGGACGCAGCTAAGGTCATTTCTCCCGCTAAACAGCAATGTTTTTGTACAGTAGTTTCAGATATATATCGTACTTTGTGCCATCAGCACTGCTCGTTTATCTGGTTTATCTTTGTGGAAATTTGGTAAGTGGAGCTCTAAGACTCATATCTGAGTACTCCTGCTGCAGCACATGTAATTAATGCGTGCATTAGTGCTGAACACATCATCAACATCGTGAAGAAGAATCACACTGCCGTCCTTTCAACAGGTAGCACAACGTTCTAAAAACACATCAAAGCTAGATTACCTTTTATCAGGCCAAAAATATGTATCACTGATCCATTTAGAATGATCTGCAAAGGTGTTTGTGTTGTTAATTAAAAAGAACCAAGAGAGGGGAGAGAGAGAGAGAGAGAGAGAGAGAGAGAGAGAGAGAGAGAGAGAGAGAGAGAGAGAGAGAGAAGCTGCTGATGTTGTTGATGACTTTTCCAGGTGAAAGGCAGACAGATAAAAGAGAGATATGATATGATTCAGTAATGAGTACTTCACTAATCAATTAATGGCTGCTTTGAGCTTTGATCCAGGCTCAAAGAACGAGAGTGGAGTAAGTTATGAAAGGAGGAACGTGTGTGTG